TTTGATCCAAACTTCCTACAGTTTAAAACCTTAAGTTAAAGCAGAATTAATTCAGGAAATAAACCTTTTGATCCAAACTTCCTACTGTGTAAAACCTTAAGTTAAAGCAGAATTAATTCAGCAAATAAACCTTTTGATCCAAACTTCCTACAGTGTAAAACCTTAAGTTAAAGCAGAATTAATTCAGCAAATATACCTTTTGATCCAAACTTCCTACAGTGTAAAACCTTAAGTTAAAGCAGAATTAATTCAGGAAATATACCTTTTGATCCAAACTTCCTACAATGTAAAACCTTAAGTTAAAGCAGAATTAATTCAGCAAATATACCTTTTGATCCGAACTTCCTACAGTGTAAAACCTTAAGTTAAAGCAGAATTAATTCAGGAAATATACCTTTTGATCCAAACTCCCTTCAGTTGTAAAACCTTAAGTTTAAATAGAATTAAGTCAAGAAGTATAGACCTTTTAAATCAAACTTCCTTCAGTTGTAAAACCTTAAGTTTAAATAGAATTAAGTCAAGAAGTATAGACCTTTTAATTCAAACTTCCAAAAAGTTGTAAAGCGTTACGTTGAAGCAGAAATAAGTCAATAAATATTACTTTGTTTTTATAAACAAGCATTGTTGCTTTGTTGTTATAAATGGAAATATATAGTTAACCGGATGTTCGACAAAGACATCGTAATTACAAAAAAGGTTAAACAATCGCAAAGTTTTGTTATTTTATTTCTTTTGTTGTTCTAAATGGGCAATTTTTTAAACATAAACGTGCGATGTTGCTTCGTTTCTATAAACAGGTAATGTTGATTTATTGATATAAACGTGCAACGTTATTTTGTTAATATATACAGGCAATATTTCTTTGTTGATATAAACAAGCAATATTTCTTTGTTGATATAAACAGGTAATATTTGTTTGTTGATATAAACGGGCAATATTTATTTGTTGATATAAACGAGAAATACTGCTTTGTTGATATATACAGGCAATATTTATTTGTTGATATAAACGGGCAATATTTATTTGTTGATATAAACGGGAAATATTGCTTTGTTGATATAAACGGGAAATATTGCTTTGTTGATATGATTGCAAAATGCACTGAGATACCTAACAATATTTCACTGATACAAAAGGCAATAATGTGATTAAAGCATGTTTACAAACGTTATTATAAATATAAGTTACAATACATTATTTTTTATTATTTTCTTTGCGCTTAAAATACACTTTTTGAAAACAATTTATCAATATTTATTTATCTAAAATAACAACATAAAATTGAAATTTTGCGTTAACAGTGAAAAAGAGGACATTGATCAGAAAGATGAAGAACTGAAATAAAGTAGTAATTTTGGAAAAGACTTCATTCCGGCTGTAAACACTTCACACCAACACGTGTACTGACACAGAGTTCACCTTCACCACAAGGATGTTCATCACACTCTGGAATTTCTGAAAGAAAAGCAGATTTATGTATATATATATATATAATAATTTCTGTTCTACAAGTGACCGAAATACAGGGATATATTGTTAATTGTTTTATCCCTGGACCTCAGATAAGCATTATTATTTCATCAAGCCATTACGACAAATAAATATATTATATACCGA